ATTCAGTTTCAGGTGCCAGTAGTCCCCTTGTTATTCAATATCAGGTGCCAGTACTTCCCTTGTTATTGAGTATCAGGAGCAAGTACTCCCCTTGTTATTCAGCAACAGGTGCCGGTACTCCCCTTGTTATTCAGTAAGTTTAAGTCAAGGGAGATGATGCTAAGATTGTGCAATTCCTTGGTAAGACCCCACCTAGAATATTGTGTGTAGGTTTGGTCACTTTACCTTAAAAAGGACATTGCTGTCTTAGAAAGGGTTCAACATAGGGCTACAAAAACTATTCCTGGTCTTGGAGGAATGTCTTATGAAGAGAGGTTAGCTGAGATGAATCTGTTCAGAGACTAAGGGTATATAAGGTTCTACCAGGTCTGGATGCTGTTTAACCAAATAGATACTTAAACATTTACATTTTCTAAATTCAGGGATAGTCCTCCTGGAGCAAGTTGGGGTTAAGGATCTTGCTCAGGGACCCAATGATGGTAGTGCCAAAGGTGGGACTCAAACTCATGATCTCTTAGTCCAGAGGCAAGCATTCTAACCACTAGATCACCAACACCTCAATATTAGTTCAAATACAAGAACTTGTGGCCAAAGGTGGAAATTAGCAGGAGAACATTTTAAACTGGATTTGAGAAAGCACTTCTTTACACAACATGTAGTATGGAATAGTCTTGCTGTTAGTATAGTGCAAGTTAAAACCCTGGATTCCTTTAAATCAGAGCTAGATAAGATTTTAGCAACTTTAAGCTATTAGTTGAATTCCCCCCAAACGAGCTTGATGGGCTAAATGGCCTCCTCTCGTCTGTAAATTTCTTATGTAATACACGTACCCAGTTTCCATTTCTTGTGTTACTTTCTCAGAATGCCAATGGGCCCCCAGATCTCATGCTTGACCCCCGGAGTGTGTGTGTCTCCGTTGATGAAGTGGTATCTAACAACGTTAGCAGCCAACAGACGCCGCTGCTGCACAGGCATTTAAAGAAAATAGAGAACAGCCTGAGTGAGGCGCAGCGCTTCTCCCTCCTGCCGCGACGGCCTGCTGTCAGTATCCAGTTCAAAGACCTCTCATATTCTGTCCCAGAAGGCTCATGGTGGAGAAAAGCAGGTACAGTCACCTCTTCACTACACAGGTGGATGCTATCCATTCTGGAAGCTATTTTATTTTGTCTGCTGTTTTCAGCTGTCATGGAGTTAAAGACCGAAAGGGCAGTGATTTGCGAACTGCAGACCTGTTCCACTTCTCACTGGGTAGTTTACTGGTTTCCATTCAGTTAAACAGAAACACAGAAAACCCCACCCACTGCTGCACACACCCGTTGTGGATTTTGAAGGCTTGCTGAGAACTAGCTAGTATTCAGCAACTAGTTATATAGGAAATTATTCTATAAGCCGGAATAAGTGCATCATGCGGTGATTTGGTTGAAGATTGCATATTTATGACGTTTTATTGGAAATGGTGGTGGATTTTGTGAATGTACTTCAGCATTCATTGGAAGCTCCGCATAGCATCACTTACGCTATTTGCTTCATTTGGACAAATGCAGCTGCTGAATGAAAACAAATGTGAAATGTGCCTCTCTATTTTACCTATAATAACAAAATACAAAATATAAATAAAATATGCTACATCAGTGTGTGCGAGAGGGTCGTGAAATGATTTCTGGAATATTGGAATATGTGGAAAAATATTAAAGGAGGGAGACCCCCCCCTCCCCCCAACCGACAAAAACTACCAATGGGGAACCCCCACCCCCCTGAAAACGAAAGGGGATTGCAAGTCTTTGGCACTGTTATTTTGGGGGACATTGGCTAAAAGGTTTTCTAGAAGATAGGGCTGTTAAATACCCTCCATTCCCTTATATACCATAGTCATGCTAGAATTATAATACATTATAATACACACTTTAAAATACACACATTTTAGTTTATTATTTGGGTGGGGGGACAAAAAAGTGAAAACTTCTAAAATGTCATGAAAGATTTACTTTGTTTACATTACAGTGCATGCAAGTACATTGTGTCTCATGTGATTTCAGCATTAATTTGGTCAAAATTTCCACACAATCCTTTATTTCTTCAGAAATTATACTGATTTTAAATGGTGACCAAATACTCACCGTCTGTCGTCTATATGGAGATATGGGCCTTGTCTCTCGCCACAGGCTGACTGTGCGCTGTGCTCTTTGACCATCTGCTTCATGGTGAGGTAGCTGCCTTCAGCTCTCTTACATGAATACATTCCCTGCATATGGTCTTCAGAAAGTTGCCGCCCTCCTTTAAGCCAAACAGAGCTGTGTTTAAACTCAACCAAAGCTAATGGAAGGAGAATGAGAGCAGTCATAGGAGGACCTGCTAGAAATACACTATGTGGACAAAGGTATTGGGACACCTGGCCATTACACCCACAGGAAATTTATTATATCCCATTCTAAATCCATAGGTATCAATATGTAGCTGGTCCCACCTTTGCAGCTGTAACAGCTGCCACTCTTCTGAGAAGGCTTTCCACAAGATTTTGGAGTGTGTCTGTGGGAATTTTTACCCATTCATCCAGAAGAACATTTGTGAGGTGATGTTGGATGTGAAGGCCTGGCTCACAATCTCCATTCTAGTTCATCCCAAAGGTGTTTGATGGGGTTGAGGTCAGGGTTCTGTGCAGACCAGTCAAGTACAGTACTTACACACCAGACCCACCCAACCGTTTCTTTATGGACCTTGCTTTGTGCACTGGGGCACAGTCATGCTGGAACAGAAAAGGTCCTTCCCCAAACTGTTCCCATAAAGTTGAAAGTATAGAATTGTCCAAAATGTCTTGGTACACATAATAGAGGAGACCCTCTCCATATCGATGCCTATGGATTTAGAATAGGATGTCATAGAAGTTCCTGTGGGTGTAACGGCCAGGTGCCCCAATACTTTTGTCCACAAACTTTATCTTCGAAGGCATTGCTTGTGCAGTGTCAGGCAACCGTAAGTTTTTTTTTTTTTAAATTTTATTTATTTATTTTTATTAAATCAGTAAGTTATCAAATTCTGTCAAGGATTTGAGAATAGTGTTTGTAGAGGTTTTTGCAGATCATTGTTCTCCATGATTTAATTGTATTTAAACCACAGTATAAAAGGTATTAAGGTAAGGAGCAGCACCTAGTTTCAGACAGGTTAAGGTAAAGGGAGGAATGGTCTGTGTGTCATTGCAGCTGTATGATGAATGATTCAGGGTAAGACAGATCTCCACCCCCAACCGAGCCCCACCCAAGACTAGACTGAAGTCGAGCTGAGGTTTGAATGGGCCACAAAATTGAGCTGCTCTCTTGTTTCACCAGGTTCTGGGAACATAGCTTTTCACAAAAAATGGCATACAATACCATATACTTTTGATGCTATTTAATACTCAGACTTAGTGTGGTTTCTATTGCTGCCCTACTGCACTTACATGATACACAAAAGCTGCATGTTTTAGAGCGCCGAAAGCTGCTATCATGTTTCCCGTCAATGTTTACAGTCACTCGTTAATTGCAGGAAGATGGTCGTTTTACAAAAGCCACCTTTCAGTTTGGATTGATACGGAATAATTTACAGAATGTTTCAGATTGACATCATCGTTATTCACATGAAATGTTGAGTTTGATCTCAATTGATACAAGAGGTATGTTTCATGTATGTTTAGACCGAACTCGCGCTAACAGTGCAAGCAGCCAACGGACACCATTACTACACGGCCATTTAACATATGGAAGTGTGCCTTGTAATGGATTAGTTTGTCTAATTTTCCTGAAAATCGGACAGAGAATGAGCATCCATCTGCTTGACCTCAGGAAATGAACCATGAAGATGTCTTCCTTCAAGTGAATTGCATGTATCTGGTCCAGGAGTACTGTCTGATTCGTCAGCAGGCCATTCTCCACCTGAAAGGTCACACCGTGAGGATCAGAGACGCTGAATCATGCAGCCGTCCAGGCGTTAAATTCTACTTCGGCTCTATCATTTCCTATTTTAATCTGAAATTGGAATTTAGAAATTTTTGGACATTCGTCCAGGGTTCTCAACTTTGGTCAACTGGCTGGAGTGAGATTTTTTAACTTGAGCCAAGTCTGCACACACATACACACTCATGTATGTAAGAGTGTATTACTTTGTAAATAGTTTGGGTTTGGAGATTTTAATAATAAGCTTTATAGTATCTCACAGGACATACCATCTATTTCAAGGAATTAACCTGTAGAAAGTTACTGAGGACAGTTACTAAGGTATATATGTTCTCTTAAGTTTGTATGCACTATAACTAAATGCTTAATTCTTATTTGTCTAGAGAATTCTGACTGATGCCTTTGCTCCCTGTTACTGTGATTTTTGTGGCAACGATTAATGATTGTCATTATTTTATAGGCTGTATTATGTAGAATGCACTGTGTTAGTGAACAACTATGTCACCAAAATCAATAGTTTAAAATTACAGTATTTAAGCAGCATTGGGTGTAAGTTTAGTACTTAGTAACCAAGAAACCCAGATTTGATGTATTTTACTATACATCTTCTAATGAAAGTTTTCTCTGCAGTGTCATATATACATAACTCACACACACACACACACACGCGCATCCAATAGACAATTTGGACACACCAAGTGGCCTATCCACCTGTTTTTGAAACATGGTAACACACCGAACAAAGGCACAGTATGCAGGCTAGAGCAGGGCTAGAATTTGAACGCCCAGTGGGCTGCCTTGCCACGCCCTCCAGCACTGACATCATTCCCAGTGCTTAACCTATATGACAATAACCATGGGTAATGCTCTGCTTTTTGTTGTACTGTGGAGTCTAAAATTTTGAAATATTTTAAATATTTCACACAAGTTATTAGTTATATCAGTGTTTAAAACTCTCAGGGGTAGAAAATGTGCTGCAGCTAAACCTACGGCATGGTGTTGTAGTCAGGGACGGATTATGGGTTGTGTGGGCCCCTGGGCAAAACGTTCGCGAGGCCCCCCACCAGCACCACCACCACAACCACCACAATTCAAGGGCCCTTGGCAGCCAAACGCCCTCCCTCCATGTTTCCATCAGAGGCCCTATAGGGTCAGGGGCCCTTGTAGGCAGAGGATCAAAGAATGTAGGCCCTCTAAAATAGACAAACGAAAATACATTGTTGATAAGCGTTGCAAATTGTTTTGGGCTAGGGGCCCCACGGGCCCCCTGCACCCCAAGGGCCCCTGGGCAGCAGCCCCGCTGGCCCGGCCCGTAATCCGTCCCTGGTTGTAGTGATGAGCGCTGTTACTTCTCATCTCTGAGAGTGGGGTTCGAGTCTCCACCATGGCTCCATGTGTGGAGTTTGCATGTTCCCCCCATATTGTCGTGGGGTTTCCCCCTGGTACTCCGGGTCTCCCCTCCCCCCAGGTGAACTGGAGCTGCTGAATTTTTTGTGTCCAGACATCTTTCATTTTATCCATACCCAGTTATCCCATGCAGAGCTGTCGGGGTGTGTGTTTTGGCTCAGACTAAGTAGGAAAGTATGATTCTTCGCTGTGGTACTGTTGAGCCGGGCTATCTGTTCCCATGAAGGTAATGTACGCAGCTTTGCTTGTCTGCATGAGGACAGGAGGGGTCAGCGGTATTTCTGTATTATTCAGATCAGAAAGGAAAATCCTATTAGGCAGTCTGGGAACTGCTGGATTATAGCCCTGATCTAAGCATTGGATAAAGAACAGGTTACTGTGGGACATTCCTGCCTGCTGTTCTGCTTTATGGTGCTGAGGACTAGAGTTGTTTCAGTTTTAGAAGAGTGTTTGATTTGGTTCTAAGAATGTTATTGATTGATGCATGAACCTGTAGATCAGTCCCTACACCTGCCGACCTGTTTATGTGGACCTGGGATCTACATACTGTACATCCAAGTCATGCAAATTGACCCAGAAAACAAGTGGCCTTGTTCACGTGAAACAAAGATGCCTCTGCCTTTTAAAGATTTGGGACAAAGCAGAGCATCAATCAGGCGAATGAAGGCCTTTGCTCCCTTTGTGATGCGTATAGTTTCTGACAGCCCTGCTCCTGTTGTACTGGGCTTTAGGTTACAAGACCCTGCTGAAAGGGATCTGCGGGAACTTCAGCAGCGGATGCCTCGTGGCTGTCATGGGTCCCTCTGGAGCTGGGAAGTCCACGCTTATGAACATTCTGGCTGGATACAGGTATGTGAGAGCTGAGGGTGAAGACATGTGGCCAAGTAATTCTAACATTTCCTTCATGAGATGCATCTCCATACAATTAGGGGTCTCCTTAGTCACTCCCTGCATTTGAACTTTGAGCGTCTTGTCACTTTCTGGCAGAGAAACAGGTATGGAAGGGGAGATTCTGATCAACGGACAGCCCCGAGACCTCCGGTCCTTCCGGAAGGTGTCGTGTTACATCATGCAGGATGACATGCTCCTCCCCCATCTGACAGTACAGGAGGCCATGATGGTAAAGGGGAAGAAGCTCTAAACCCAAGGGGTTATATTTGCATGACCATGATCAATGCAACTGAAAATGATGTTGATACTGCCAGCAATAGCCATGTCAACTCCCAGGTATCATGGATTGTCTACCAAGGGAAAAACAGGGGGGTAAGAGGCTCTATGGGTTTGGATGCTGTGTCTCTGATAGGAAGGTTGTTGGCTCAAATCCCATGGTTGGCAGAGTGATTTGAACCCAACTGCTGCAGTGACTGGCGGAACCTTTTTTCTCAACTGTGTGACGCTTTGCATAAAAACATCTGCTAGTTATCAGAATGTAAAGATAGGAGCAGCAATCCTAATAGTTACATAATAGCCCTAATGTTCAGGAAAGATCACTATGTTGAGTAATGCTATTCATACACTTTTGCTCACAATAGCCACTGTGTTTATTTGTAAAGCACACATTGAATTTAAGGCTTAATTGAGCAGAACACTGTTCCACTACTTTTTAGGTGTCAGCTAATCTGAAACTCCAGGAAAAGAATGAGGGCCGGAGAGAGATGGTAAGAGGATTTCATCAGAAATCTAGAAAAAATCCTCTGTGTGTGTGTGTGGGGGGAGGGGGGGGGTACATACCCATTAGCTCACTGAGAAAAAGCCCAGTATGCCAGATGGCCAGTCCAGCCTTACATGCCAAACATTGTTATAATATTGTAGGATAATTGGAAAAATATTTAACAAAATTTTATTGGATTTCACTATAAATAAATTATGTCATTGCATGTGTTGTTGATGTTACAGTATATATTATACCTGGCTAAACCTGAACTGCGTCATTGAGGAGTACATCAGATGTGTAAGCGCTAATGAATGACAGCCTATTTTTGAATACGTACAGATAAGTCAGGAATGGAAGACCTGATTTCAGAGACCCATTCAGAATAGTTTTTTAGGGCTTTTGTTCAGAGGAGACCTTCAGGGGGAAAGTAGGACATGGAAAGCTTAAAGCCTGTGATAAGTTGCTCCCGGGTGGTTTGGCTGGGGATGCGGACTCTTCCAGCATAGCATGCAGTTTGACATGTGTAACTACATGTCACGCTGCACAGGAACGTCAAAACGGCTCCTTCGCAAAACAGCGCCGGTGTTACCAAATGACAGCTGTGGCAGTGTCACTTCCTATAGGCCTGCTGGCACTAGAGATGAAACGGTATGAAAATTTAGTATCTCGATTATAGTGACCAAAATGATCACGGTTATCAGTCATTGCTATATTGCTAAAATGTGCCGAAAAAGTTCTGATACACAAACTGAAATAATTTTACCAAATTCTATAATGAAAATCACAACTAAAATTAGCAGCACTATGTACTTTTTCTTTGCTTAAACATTAAAATAGTAACTTAGCCAAAACCTTATATAAGCATAGGAAAACCATATTAAATCTCCAGAGCGCAGTCACTGCCTTACTCCGTATTTTCATGGACACAAAACAGACCCACGTTGCATGCTGCGTCTGCACACCTGTGTTTCGGACTCTGTCGCTAACTTTGGTTGATGCAGGAAAGTATTTAACCTACATTTTTATAAGGCAATCGACCACGGTATTAATGATAATGAAAATCTGAAACGGAAATACTAACCGTTGGGAATTTTACGGTGGTTAAGTGTGAAACCGGCAACCGTTTCATCCCGTTGGCACGCTGACATAAAGATTCTAGTTAGCGTTAGCGCTCCTGTGTTGAGTTGGCTGCCGAATGGGCACCCTGCTGTCTGCACGTCCTTAACATAAGGGGCACTGTGGAGGGTAAGGTAATATAACGGAAGTGGAAAATACTAACCTGGGATGGAAACTGAGCTAGCGTCACGCCTTGTTCAGTTGAATGAAACACTGGTGCGCCGTGAAAAGCAGTGCGAAAAACCTGCTTTTGTTTTAGGTGAGAGAAATCCTGACTGCGTTGGGACTTTTGGAATGTGCCAAGACGCGTACGGCGAACCTTTCTGGGGGCCAAAGGAAGCGCCTGGCCATTGCGCTGGAGTTAGTAAACAACCCGCCCGTCATGTTCTTCGACGAGCCAACCAGGTACACTCACTCTTGTCCAATGCTGAGGAGATCAGTACATAAGCATGCTAGTAGGCGCCATTAAATTCCTACTAAAGACTGGGTTCAGGCCATTAGTAAGTGGGCTCCCCTCAGGCGGCCGCATGAGCAATTACCATTTATATTATGGTCATTTTGGACGGGATATAATGGCACATTAGACTTGATAATACTTTGAGGTCTTTATACTGCTGAGTCTCTGCTCCCTAGTTTCCCCTTTCATGTATTCAGAGTAGTGTTATAATACTACCTTACCAAATACACTGTTTCTCCTTGTGTCCAAAGACTCCAATGCTGTCTCCAGTTCTGCTTTTCTTAGTTCTGTTGTTTATTATTACGGTTATTTATTTAAATACTGGGAGCCACAAAAATGACCACTTCCGTCTGGTGCTCCATGTTTTAATTAAATTCTCATGTAACCTGTTTGATGGGATTTGGTGAGAGTTATGAGAGTATTATAAAAGAAAGCATGTACTGTGGCATTGCATAAAGCTGGGTGATAGGACTGAGTGACCCCCCACCCCCGTCCAGGGCTGAGCGACCCCCCGTCCAGGGCTGAGCCACATGCTAACAAACCAGTTGCACGTTGTTATAAAAACAAAGCCCCCGTGACAGTGCTTCTCTGCTTTCCACACACCCAGCTTAATTTATGGGGTAGCTGCCCTGCTCTGGTGCCATTTATGCGTATCATAAAAACATAAACACAGAAATTGCAGCTAAGTCTATAGCCACATTGCTTATGTACCAATCTCCTGAGCATTTGCCTGAGGGGCTTCATCCGTATCCACAGGCAGTGTCCCTGTGACCTCTCTCATTAACAATCAGGCAATTCAGCTTGTCCAGATTAATCAGGTGCTTAATCGTACCTCTAAGGGGTTTAATAGAGTGCATTGGGTTAATTAAAGGCATCGAGGCAAACATAAACCTTTTAATTATGATGGTAGAAGCCATATTAAATTCAAATAATATGCATTATTACAAGCACAAGGAAAAAGCATGTTAAAAATAGAAAATACAAATATTTTAAAGCTTTTTTATGATTTACATAATCTATATGTAAATTTGTCATTGTATGAAACTCAAAAGAGTAATGAAATGACAGTTTCCTCATTAAGCTAGTTGCCTTTCTGACTTTCATGACTGAAGCAAAATTTTTCGCTGTTTTAAAAATTAATTTAACAGCCTTTTCCCGTGACACAACCCTGAGATTCACATTTTCTTGCACGTCAGTTAAAGGGCAGTAGGTAGAGCACTTAGCTGATGAACCAGGCGTGTGCACAAAGGAAATAAAGGACTGTTCTTTGGTATCTTTGAGCTTGGAAAAACTTAAAACACCCAGCAGAATATGAAACTATTAACCATATAAGTAAACTTTTTCTTAGCAACTAAATGCAAAATAATAATAACCAAGGCAGGCAGTCATCGATCTCTGTGTCTCTGCTCCCTGCAGTGGGCTGGACAGCTCCTCCTGCTTTCAGGTTCTCTCTCTGTTGAAGGCTCTGGCCCAAGGCGGACGAACCATCATCTGCACCATTCACCAGCCCAGTGCTAAGCTCTTCGAGCTCTTTGACAAGGTATGTTTACATCAGCGGTTGTATCATGCTGTGTGAGCACCAATTACTGTAACCCCTGCACTCTGAGTTAGACGTGGTGGCGGGATCACTCGGAAATGTTTACTGGAGCTCTAACACAACACATCTCACGTCCATCTCTGTGCAGCTCTACGTCCTGAGTCAGGGTCAGTGCATTTACAGAGGATACGTGTCCAATCTCGTCCCATATCTAAGAGAGCTGGGCCTCAACTGTCCCACGTACCACAACCCTGCAGACTTTGGTAAGGGCCGTTTGATCGATTTATCAGAGATCGGCTGATATTCATTAAAAATCAAGATATGGGCATCGGTTCCATGGGAAAATATTGGCCGATATTGTCGGCTGGTATTTAAGCGTAATCAGTGTTCAGAGTTAACAGCACCAGAGCTAAAGACCCAGCTACTAAAAAAATGATGATGATTATGATGATTATAACATCCGATGATCATCCATTTTCTGTCGTGAAGGACGAGGGTTGTAATCGACACATTCGCCACTTTTAAGATGCCTAAAAGTACGAGCCTGCAAAATATTTATAATCCATATTTAAATCTGACAAACAGTTCGATCTTTTGTTTTCCGTAGGATAAAAAACAATGTAATGTCATTCCACTGCTGTCAGCCCCACCCACCCCGCTGGGCAAGTAGCTCATGAACGGCGATATACACATCGGAGCGCCACTGCGATTTACTTAATTGTAGTCAAAAAAGGGGACAGCATGGTGGCACGGTGATTGGCACTGTTACCTTTAGGACTCTGGGTTATCCCAACATTCCAAAAGCATGCTGAGGTTAACTGGAGTTACCACATTGCCTGTTGGTGTGTGAGTGTGCCCTGCGATGGGTTGGCACCCCATCCTGGGTTGTTCTCCACCTCGCACCCATAATCTCCGGCATAGGCTCCGGACCCCCCACAACCTTGAATAGGACAAGCGGTTAAAGAAAATGGATGGATGGTAGTCAAAAAGGAGGTGGCTGTCCTGAAATTAGTTTCAATACACTTTGATTTATAAAAAATATATTGTGATGCCTGAAGCTGTTGTGTCTGGAGAGATTCTGCCAGGGAAGTTGATGTGAAACTGCATGCATGTCATAGTGATGGAGGTGGCTTCCGGGGAGTATGGGGACCAGACGGCCAGGTTGGTCAGGGCCGTTCAGGAAAGGAGTGAGAAGGACTATAGCACAGATGTACACAGGGATGGGCCCCTCAATCCATTTTTCTGGCACCGAACAACGGATGAGGTAAGGCGATGTAACAGTCTGCCCATACATGCCTGCTTGGACCAGAAACCATGATCTCACAGTAGGTGTTAAACTGGGACTGATCATCCGCAATTGGCCTCCTTATCGTCCAGGACTGGTCCTCCACTGAGGGCTGCCATAGTTTCTCTGCCAGCTGCCTGACTCAGTTCTGCATCCTGTTTAAGAGAACGTTCATCAGCATTATGAGGGATGCGGTAAGCAAGAATGCCACCTGCTGGATTAAATTGGATATTGCACCCTTATACAGATATATATTTACCCCAGAATAAAAAACAATTATTTTTAATTTTTTTTAAACTAAGAATTTTACAATTACAAAACATTACTGTTATGTTTTCAATCATTTGCTTGCAATACCAATTCTACACCTTGGAGCTTATATTCTTGTGCTGGTGGGTGTGTATCTCATTGTGTTGATTGTTTTTTTCCCCCCCCCATACAAGGTCCTCACTCACCTGCGCATCACCTCCCATATCGGGATTGGAATCCTGATCGGTCTCCTCTACTTGGGCATCGGCAACGAGGCCAAGAAAGTCCTCAGCAACTCCGGCTTCCTGTTCTTCTCCATGCTGTTCCTCATGTTCGCGGCGCTCATGCCCACCGTGCTGACGTGTGAGATGACCTCTGCAGCCGCGCCCTCGCGGCTTTTCCAAGTAGGAGTGACACTGTCGTCCCAGTGACGTCCACGCATAAAGGCATTGCCTTTCCTTCCCTCGTATCCCATAGTTCCCCTCGAGATGACGGTATTCCTGAGGGAGCACCTGAATTACTGGTACAGCCTGAAGGCGTACTACCTGGCGAAGACCATGGCTGACGTTCCCTTCCAGGTAGCTTCATGACCTTCAGCACCATTTTATAACGTAGCGTTTTATTGTAAAGCTAGCAGGTCATGATAAATGATCCTTACTCCATGTTAGGGTCACCCCTATATTTCCAATATTCCCATATAGGAAAAACGCATGACGTCACGGTAGTCTATAAGACTAGTGATGCTTTATGAGCTTCATGAACCATTTTCAGTACTTTTTGACCCCACTAGATGGTGCTCTTGGTTTGCTTTGGAGCATGAATTGCTCCTTTTTTTAAGTAGAGTGATGGCAGAAACTACAGCAAATGGTTACATTTTCCCAGAAGCTGGGAGGGAGCAAAAACGTGGACTGTCTGCGGGTTTCTGAGGACCGGAATGGGAAACACTGCTGTATAAGTATCACAGGACCCTGTGTGTGGCCCTGCAGGTGGTGTTCCCTGTGGTATACTGCAGCATTGTGTACTGGATGACCTCCCAGCCCTCAGACGCCGTGCGTTTCATCCTCTTCGTGGCTCTTGGGATACTGACCTCCCTGGTAGCTCAGTCTCTGGGGCTCCTGATTGGAGCTGCATCCAACTCATTGCAGGTGAGGCTGTCAGGATTTTGCTGCCATATTGGTTATCGAGAGGTTGTACGCATACATATAAGGTCACTGCTGATCTTAAGAAGATGGTTGCTGTAACATTGCTTATTTAAAGTACAAGTTGATTTCAAGATTATCTGCTTGATGCAGTCAGATATGCAGTCATGCTTCGCTTAACGGGGATACGTTCTGAGAAATGCATTGTTAGGTGATTTTGTCATTGTGCGAACATAATACAAACCTAGATGGCATCGCCTACGAGACACCTAGGCCAAAGTAAATAATTCTATATAATTAGAAAGAGTATACTCTATAATAACTGTAAAAGTACAGTATAGTAATTGCATAAAGAAGTTATATAGTTATTATAAAGTATTAGGTACTGTACATAAGAGGATGTGCTATACTTTTATGTGATTGGCAGCGTAGTAGGTTTGTTTACATCAGCATCACCACAAGCACATGAGCAGTGTGTCGCGCTACGATGTTACGATGGTTATGATGTCACAGTAGGAATTTTTTTAGCTCCATTATGAGGCCATGCTACCATATCGGTTATCGAATTTAATAAATTGTTCTCCATAAACAAATGTGGCTACAACAGTAGGGTGACCAGATAACCCTTCAGGTTTCACAAACAATTTTAAAACAGAAAGGTTCCTGTGCTCGGCTAAATAATTCAGTTCTTCTTGTGTCTTGACTGGTTTGTTTTCTTGACTGAAAGTTCATCCAGCTTAATTCAGCAAAAAAGCATCCCAAGACTTTCTGTGAGCACTGTTATACCTGTAGATTGTACGTTGCTTATGTGGTTTGTTTTAGGTCGCAACATATGTTGGCCCCATCACTGCCATCCCCGTACTGCTGTTCTCTGGCTTCTTTGTCAGTTTTGACACCATACCCAAGTACCTGCAGTGGATCTCCTACATCTCATATGTCAGGCAAGTAAACAGAAGTACTTCCTGTTAATTTTAAAATAATGACACTGGAATATCCAGCCAGTGTGGCATAAGGAGCTCAGAATTCAAATACAGTGCGTGCTGCAGATATGGATTTGAAGGCGCCATCCTATCCATCTACGGTCTGGACCGGGAGGACCTGCATTGTGATCAGAACAAGACGTGCCACTTCCGATCCACAGAGGCCATCCTCAAGGAGCTGGATGTGCAGGATGCAAAGCTTTACTTGGACTTCATCGTGCTTGTCGTCTTCTTCATCACCATCCGCTTCATCGCCTACCTTGTCCTGCGCTACAAGATTAGTGCAGAGCGCTAGAGAGTCAACAGAATAGGGAAAAGGGCCATAGGTCAGGTTTAATTTGGGTCGTAAGAAATATGTTTATATTTCTTGGTGCAGAGCTAAACCACAGCAATGAAAGAAGAGTCACTATGCATTCACCAGCCTGGCATGCTGTAATGGTTTGAAAACAAAGAAGGGACAAGCTATTTTTTATTAGATCTTGATCTCTTTCTAGATGAAAGAGATCTCCAAAGTTTCTGGAGGTAAGTATAGTTCGGAGCTGAATCTGAGAGATACTTAACGGATTAATGCCTGTTTGCATCGTGATGCATCCTGACTAGTTTCAGACCTTTTTGTTGTTAAATATATTTAATGCTATCTGCACATGTTGTATACACATGGTTAATACAGATTTATATACAGTAGGAGGACTGTGTGTGACTCTTGCCCGTGGAAAGTCCTAGGATGGACAGCGTGATGTCACTGTCAGCCCTCGAGCAAGGTCCTTAACCCCCAGTTACTACAGCGTTTGTCTGTCTCCTCTTCTTCAAACAATGTACGTCATTTTGGATGAAAGTGTCCACAAAATATAAAATGTACATACAGTCACCCCTTCACATTCGTCAGGGGTTAAGGGGTGGAAGGTCCCTACGAATATGAAAATTTGTCAATAAATACTTGGGTCCATTATTAAAAATGCAAAACTGGTAAGTCTAAAAGTTACCATGAGAAGCATGAGATTCCACGGTCAGAGACGGCTAACGTGAGTGAGGATGGTAGCTCAGACAATTTTTTATTTGTTTATGTTTGCTTTACCAAACATAAAATTCAATATTAAATATGGAGCATTCACTTACACTAACATATATTAAATAACACTAATATTTATATTGTACATGATTTTATGTGATCATTTTCAGTATTGTTTATATATTTTTTTGGCTTGCATGTTGTCTAAAAATATTCTCATTTAATTGTTCACAGCCAGCTTGCGAATAACTGAAACTGTGAATGTCAAATTTGCGAATCTGGAGGGGTGGCTGTATATATAGGTACCTTTAGAGCAGAAAGACTGACAGAGTGTTATAATTAAAATTGAGGCAAATGAACTTATCCTCCTTTGTGTAGTTCAGTGGTTCTCAACCATTGCACTGCGGCCCGATTTTTACCATGCCAGCTCAGTCGCGACCCTATATCAAGTGATCAAGTACCGGTTTAAAGTAACGCCACAGTGAACCACACAGTGCACTCTGCGATTTACACCAATCAATGCCTGTCGCACAAATCTGATTGGACGTGCCAGTGAATTTTAAATTAAGCATCTGTGCTTTGGCTTCTTGGATTAGTCGAGTGTTCACTAGTTTTCCCTTCTGATACAGCTGGTTTGAACAGTTGGAAGACAGTAATTCCCCACTTCCTCAATTTTGGTCACTTCTGTAAGAAAAATGTATAATCTATGTAAAATCGACATTACAGCATGTGGTGATGGTATGTGGTGACCCACTGGCTTTTTTAAGTCTTCAGGTTTTTTGTGGTACACTACAGCTACATCATTCCCTGGATAATACTGGCCCAAAGAATGGTAGCTTATATACACATGAATGACATTCATTTGTTTTACTTCTAGTAGACGGATAGTGGAGGGAGAGTAGCAGGAACATGGCCGGGTAGTAATATTATCGGTTTCACCCCCCCACACCCCTTCGAGGGGGCCTATCGATAGGGCTTCTTTACTCCCCATGAAGTAGATCTCTGGCGACGGGCCTGGTGAATTAGGCGAGATGGTAAGACACTGACCATAGCACTTTTAAATGCCTAATTACCATTAAAACAAAATCACATGCGACTGAATAGGGAATACTCATGATATGAATAACAATATATGACAGTCTTTAGAAACCTCCATATTTGAAACATTTTCATATGTGAAATCATCTAAATGATTTATCACCCATTGTGCCTATTAATTTGCTTCATATCAAAGCATATAGAGTCAATAAAGCTCACTGAAAAAAATAAAAGTACAGAAGCTGTATGGGTAAAACTAGATGCTAAAAACTCAAATGGCCTAATTGTCGGGGTTTGTTATAGAGCACCTAATGTAGCTGCAGAGGAAAGCAGAATGTTATATGACGAGATCAGGATTATGAGTAATAAAAATGATGTGGTGGTTATGGGTGATTTTAATTTACCTGGGATACAGTGGGACACAGTCTCTGACTCTTCTGTAAATGAACTTGAGACAGTAGAATTAGTACAGGATTGTTTTTTTTACTCAGTTTGTTAATAGCCCTGCAAGGGGAGAAGCCCTTCTTGATCTTGTTTTGTCTATCAACCAGGATAGGATTGGAAAATAAGAGGTTTTAGAACCACTCTAGTGATCATAACATGGTTAAATTTGAGGGTCATTTTAGTGTCCGAAGAGTGAAGTCCAAAACAAAAATATACAATGTGAGGAAGGCTAACTTTAATGGAACGAGACAGAAACTAGAAACTGTAAACTGGATGGAGTTAAACAGCAAAACTGTTGAAGAGGCTTGGAATTTTTTTTAAAAGCACGTTGTTGCCAGTGCAAAAGGACTTCATACCTGTTTCCAGTAAAACTAAATCTAAGAAACTGCAGCCAAGGTGGCTTATTATGGAAATTAAGAATAAAATCAGGAGGAAAACCGCTTTGTTCCACAAATGGAAATTAACTAATGATTTCAAAATAAAGCAGGAGTATGTAAGTCTACAGGTGGAGTTAAAAAATAACATCAGACTCACTAAGAGGAATGTAGAAAGGAAGATTGCGTTGGAGGCTAAGGATGACATTAAAAGTTTCTTCCAATATTTTAACTCCAAAAGAGTTTTAAAAGCTGAAATCACTAATCTGCAGGATAGTAAGGGTCTTATAATTGAAAATGAAATTGATATAGTAAATGAGTTTAATGATTATTTTACATGGGTGTTCACAGTAGAGAACACAAGTAACCTGCCACCATTTTGTACAAATACAGCGTCGTCTATGACCAATATACAGTATATATAACTGAGGCTGATGTGGTACAAAGCCAACTAAACTCAAAATAAATAAATAGCAGGGCCCTGATGGCATCTTACCTATAGTTTTAAATGAGATGAGGGATATTATTAGCCAACCTTTAACTTTACTATTTCAGAAATCCTTATCTACTGGTGCGGTACCTTCTGATTGGGAGCATGCTAATATAACACCCATATTCAAAAAAGGGGATAGAAGTAATCCAGCAAACTATAGGCCAATCAATTTAACTTGCATAACTGGAAAGGTATTGGAAGCTATAATCCAAGTGAAAATGGTAGATTACCTGGATTCAAATAACATTCTGAGGGATAGCCAACATGGATTTAGGAGAGGTAGGTCCTGTTTAACTAACCTACTTGAGTTCTTTGAGGAAGCTACAAAAGAAATCACAAAAAAAGCCTATGATGTGATCTACTTAGATTTCCAGAAGACCTATGGTAGTTATTACAGGCACAATGTCGCAGTGGGCCTGCGTTCATAGTGGGGTACCGCAGGGTTCAATTTTAGGACCATTATTGTTCCTAATTTACATTAATGATAATGACACCAATGGTCTAGCAGATACTAAATTAGCAGCACAGAGGGTACAATGGGATCTTGATTTAATTAGCAACTGGGCTGATACCTGACAGATGAAATTTAACATAGATAAATGTAAGGTAATCCATGCAGGTAGCAGAAATATAAAGTACAGATATTTTATGGGTTCCACTGAAATAAAGGTAGCTGATTATGAGAAAGACCTTGGTGTGTATGTTGATGCTTCTATGTCCCACTCTCGCCAGTGTGGGGAAGCAATAAAAAAGGCCAATAGGATGTTGGGTTACATCTCTAGGTGTGTGAAGTTTAAGTCAAGGGAGGTGATGCTACAATTATACAATTCCTCTGTAAGACCTCACCTAGAATATTGTGTGCAGGTTTGGTCACCATACCTTAAAAAGGACATTGCTGCCTTGGAAAAGGTTCAACAAAGGGCTACAAGAATGATTCCTGGTCTTAGAGGAATGTTAGAGGTTAGCTGAGCTGAATCTGTTCAGCCTCGCACAAAGGAGATTAAGGGGGGACATGATCCAGGTCTATAAAATTCTAACAGGTCTCGATGCTGTTCAGCCAAATGGCTATTTCAATATTAGTCTAAATACTAGAACTCGTGGCCATATGTGGAAATCAGCGGGAGAACATTTTAAAACAAATTTGAGAAAACACTTCTTTACACAGCGTATAGTTAGAGTATGCAATAGTCTTAGTGTAGTGCAAGCTAAAACCTTGGGTTCCTTTAAATCAGAGCTAGATAAGATTATAACAAGTCTGAGCTATTAGTTAAGTTCTCCCCAAAAAAGCTTGATGGGCCGAATGGCCTCCTCTCATTTGTAAATTTCTTATGTTTTCGATATGAGAAAAAATGACAGACGTTACTTAATTCCTGCTTGCTAAAGGCTTTACGGATGTTATTACTGTACATTTCATATTTAAACTGTTAGGATATGGGGGAGGCACGTTGATACAGAAGGTAACACTGTTGCCTCACACCGCCAGGGTTCGAGTCCTGCCTCCACTCTGTGTGCATTTTGCATGTTCTCCCCACATAAGCCAAAGACACGCAGTTAAGCGGATTGCTTAGTAGAAGTTGGATGTGGACAGATGCTATAATACAGCATGTATTACATTTACAACTTACAGCTTGAGGTTGATGTGTGGATTTACCAAGATTAAGTAGATTTTTTTTTACTCTTCACTCATCTCTTGTATAATTGTAATTGTGATGTATAATATATAATGGATTGCTTTTTTTTAATAAAAGTATCATTTTTCTAAGAACGACAACAATGATTTTTAAATTGAAAGTTTACAGTATTTAGATACAATGTATATGCAAACTTAATTTTTACAAAGAAATGTTTAAGAGGGGAAAAGATAAGCTCATAAAGTTTCAAGAAAGTCACCATTTTAAAACCATTATTATGAAAAATGAAGTTTACACAAATTACTATGGCAACTTTAATTGCAAAACATACATTGTCTTCAGCTGAAACATAAATATGAGCTTGTCGTTACACAGCAAAGTATTCTGTGGATGAATACAGAATGTTAAATGTCCAAAAAAATTACATGCTTTCGTACTCTTGTGCATTTTGAAGGATTAATATGCCTCCAAGAATTTTGGGTATGCTATCTTTAAGGAAAAGTGTAAACTTACCTGCATAACCTGACTGCTTTTGTTACACAGGCAGATATACATGAAGATGCTTTAGTGTTTTAATGTATTTTTTTGCATGGCACTCAGATACATCAGCACCTTCTGAGTATTATGGTTTTTGGGATTTTTACTACGTTACTCCTTTAAGCTAGAAAATTTCCAAGCCAGAGTAACAGAGATATGTATTGTAATGAGATATTTAGATAAATAAATATTTTAGAAATCTGATCAAATTTTGGCCATTCATTTAAATCTAGCATGTACGTACATTTTTCCAAACAGTATTTTTTTGTGTTTTTTATTTGAACAGCTACATGTATATTAAAGCAGTGTTGTTTTTCACTGCAGCCTCTTGTTGAACTTAAGAAGGTTAAGAAAGTTATTGGACAACATATATATTTTTTATTTTATTCCTGACTTGAATGTGATAACCGACGTTGAGGGGGGATTTTTCAATAAATCAATATTATGATCAAACAAATAAAATAACACCGAGGTGAAAGAACAGACGACGGAGAAAGACCAGTGCTGTCAACTACTTTCCGTGGAAAGTCTACTGGAAAAGTCACCAAATGTTAGGGCGACCAGATAATCCACGTCAAGGAGGACACTGAGCTGGGACAGGAATTGTAAATTACCATTTCAGTTAAAAGGACCCGGATTTCACTTGAGCACTGAGTTCTTGCTGTTAGCTGATTAGTCAGTCGCCTATATATAATCATGCATGTATCACTAATGCTAATGTGAAACAGCTGGATGAGTCTTTCAGTCAAGGAAACAAACCAGTCAAAGCACAAGAAGAGTAGAACTATTTAGCCGAGCACAGGAGTCTTTCAGTTTGAAAGTAGTTTGTAAAACCCGAAGTAGCTCAAAGTGTCCTCCCTGACATGGATTATCTGGTTACCCTACCAAATGTCAGTACATGAGCATTCTGCCCTGCGTCAGATGGTGTCACTCCTTACGTCTGTTTGCTTCTCTCTTACTCTCTGCTCACATATATTATGTTTTAATGCAGCCAAATTCCAAATAAAGCTGTTTATTTGCATTTTTCTGTTTCTGTTGTCAGACAACGGATGCGTGAAATCGTGAGTGAAACGAAGTCCAGTTAAGATCACATGTTAATCAGCATTCACTTTCAAGACATTTTCAAGCTGCTGTTCCGCACTGCTAAAATTCAGATTTTATAACCACGACGTCGTGTGACAAAATCACGATACACATAATTAAAAGACAACGGCTGTGCTGTGATTTCGGTTATATTTATATGCAGAATGATCACTCCTAGAGAAAGTTATGTTTGTCCGTCGCTAAATTTGGTGCCAGCAGGCTTTTTTTAAAAACAAACAAAAAAGTCCCAACACCGAAGGAAAGTCACGTCCTGTTCCGGTGACGTCAAAACAACGCGACATTTACCCTGTGCTCCATGCCTCCTCTCAGCAACGCTCACATGTCGCATGTCTGTTAGTAAGATAATAGTAATTAAAGAATATCTTTGAGTTAATTCAGCGAAATGACGGGGGAGACGAAAGGAACAAAAACTATACATCCAAGAAATGATCCAGTTAAGAACTTTGAAAAGTGGAAGAAAAAATACGACAAAACTAAAAAACGCGTCAAACACCAGAAAAAGCAGATTAAAAAACCCGAATGGCAGATCGAAAAGGAAAAAATCAAGAAATTGGTCGATAAGTATTCGGAGGTAAAACGTCTTATTGTAATTGATTAATCTGTCAGACTCCCTTATTCTTAATGACGGAGGCTTTTTACTGTCTGTGAATGTTTAGCAGTGTATTGTATATAATTATCTGCATTGTGCGATTTGTTGTTGGACCGTAAGAAATTGGCAGGTCAGAGTAGTGTGTATGCTGACTGAAGAGTGTCATCAAACATTACCTGTAGTGATCGCTATTGGCAGTGGATTAAGTTGAATTAAGTTGTCTGTGTGCTGTGTGACCCGTTTCGTTTAATATGATTATCGGATTGAAATCATGTTGTCAATTTGCATTATTTCATGCTAGTTCTAAAGTGGACTTTGCCACTAATAACCAGCATCGTCTTACTGTATGTGTTTGCGTGTGTAAAATTTATGAGTCATCGTTATGTTAGTACTAGCTATTATTGTGTAAAATTTATATGGTTCCTAATAGCAGTTCTTATTTTCATTCTGTGCTGATGTATCCTGTTTTTTTTAGCATTAAGTAATGTTATTATCTGATTTTAAATATTTTTATGCCTTTCAGATAAACACCAAGGATGTATTGAGGTTTTCAGATTTCCCTTTATCAAAAGAAACATTAAGAGGTATTTTCAGTAATTGATTGTCTTGCTTTATGTTTTCTCCTATGTAAGAACTACTCTGTTTCCCTGTCTGCTATTATGTGCTGTTGAACACACAATGCTGCACAGACACAGCAGCACATAACACTGCTGATGTTTTATGTTTGAAATAAGAAAAAAAATGTATTTCCTTGAATTTTAACTATAGAGTTGTGATTATTATTAATTGTAATATTGCACTTTTTTGACTTGGGCTTCCCTGCTCAGGACTGTTAGAAGCTCAGTATCGGCAGCCCACAGAGATCCAGAAGCAGACCATCGGCTTTGCTCTGACGGGGAAAGATGTGCTGGGTGCCGCAAAGACTGGATCTGGCAAGACGCTGGCCTTTCTTATCCCTGTAAGCAAGCTCCCTTACAGTGGACAGTCTGTTTGTACTGGATTTTCATGGATCCTGGCAGCTGCAACATTGTGTCTGTTTTACTGTTATGTAGGGTGCTGGTTACTTTAATGAAATGTACAGTTTTTAATTTATATCAACCCTTTTGAGATGAAACTCAACATATTTCTTAAAGCAGAGGATCTCTGCCCTTGTAGTTGGAATTGCCCTGTCTAATAAAGGATATATTCAGTGTACTTTTTCATAGGTTTGTGCGTGTTTAGCGATTCTGGAACTGCTTTTTGCTGAGCAGGTGTCATCTGATGATGCACACTGCATTTCCTGCATTCCCCTGATGTTTCGGATTGGAGCTATGTGCTGCGGTACTTTCGTCTGATTGGCTGACCTGCTCACACAGGTCCTGGAGTGCCTGTTTCGCCAGCAGTGGTCAGCAGACGATGGATTGGGTGCCCTGATCATTTCACCCACACGAGAGCTGGCCTATCAGACCTTTGAGGTTTTGCGAAAAGTGGGCAAGAATCATGAGTTTTCCGCCGGCCTCATCATTGGTGGAAAGGTGCCCTTCTTATATTGTTAACTTCTTGTATTTTTTTGGGGGGGGGAGGGGGGGTGTTATCTCATTGTTTTAACATTGTTTTTGTGTTAACTCCTGTTTTAAGTGCTCTTTTGCTAGTATTCTGTGACGTTAAACATACATGTTCCTGATGCAGCTGGTATTCAAATTCCTAACCTTATGAGCTGTATGTATTAATGTCCATAGTTGGTGTTGGTCTGAGTAAATTCCCAGCACAACCAGTGCTATCCAAGCACAATCAAAGCCCATCAAAAATATTTGAAATTTTTGTTACTATGAATGTGTAGTAACAGTGGGACTGAAAATACAGACTGCATGTAAACACTCACATCTGTATCCTCCTGGGATCCTGGGGAATTGATTTTTTATTATTATTTTTATTAATTTTGAGTTGATAGGAGGGGGAAGTTGGCGAGGTCACACTCCATACATGTGATGTCATAATAAAGCCTTAACACTTAATAGAGCGGCATGAGAGGTATGAGGTCAGAAACGCATTGCTGGGTCTCTAGGGTATTTATTTTGTATTTGTTTTGTAATTAGGTAATTGGTATTTGAAGTCTTCTTATAATTCTAATTATTCTTTATTTAGAGATATTTCATGGAGGGCAATGGGGTTTCTTGGATGTACCTGGAATGTTTCTTTCCCTGTAAGAACTAATGGAAATTGCTTCCTGATATTCAAGTTTGCACCATTCAAGTGATTTCTAGGAACTAGTTACACTTCAGTAATGGAGTACAGGTGTATATGTACCTAGTGTTTTACAGCATAAAAGGCCAACTTTCTCATTTTCTTTTTGGAGTAACAAAGCTACACAGGGCCCCCGATGTTATGGTTACAGGATCTGCAGCAGGAGTCCGAGAGGATCCACCGCACCAACATCATCATCTGCACCCCAGGCCGCCTGCTGCAGCACATGGACGAGACCTGCACCTTCCACGCATCCAGCCTGCAGGTGCTGGGTACGTGTTTCCCCAAGACGAAAGTCACCATACATACACATTTTGTTTCCCTTTGGTTAACCTCGCATTTTAACCATATCGATAACAATATCCTTGATTGAAGAGCACATTGCTAAAACTTGCCCAGTCAGTTTCCTGTTGCTTTTGAAATCAGGCTTCCTCGTCATATCTTACAGTACTGGGAATGAAAACAAAGTGCTCATGTAATCCAACAAAGAACTTTTATTAAATTTCCAAAACTAAGTCCACTGGAATTCTCTCAGGCATGTTTTATGGACTAAATCAGTTTTGGGACATTGCTGTTTAATTAGGGGTGTCATCAAAATGTCAGCTCTGCTTAGGAATTATGTAAGCAGGACTAGAGAAAGAGAAATACATACTTAGATATGGTCTAGCTTTCTGCCACAGAGATTTTATATTTCGGGATTTGCTGGTGGTGGTTTTGCTGTGAAAGTTTGTTCGGCCGCTGTCTCTCACAGTGCTGGATGAGGCCGATCGCATCCTGGACATGGGGTTTGCCGACACGCTGAACGCCATAGTGCAGAACCTCCCCAAGACTCGGCAGACGCTGCTGTTTTCAGCGACTCAAACAAAATCTGTGAAAGATCTGGCCAGACTGAGCCTGAAGGATCCTGAGTACGTCTGGGTCCACGAGAAGGCCAAGTTCAGGTAGGAGCGCGTCCAGTCCAGTCCGGTCCCGTCTAGTCCAGTCCCGTCCCGTCCCGTCCAGTAGGTGGTTGTAGACCCTATTCACAGAAGCTTTGCCCCCCTTATTTTCTGTCTCGGTCCTCCTGAAAAATAATTACTGTTAATGAGTGTCTCCCAATCCAGTTCTCAGAGACCCACAGACGGACAGAAATGTGGACTGTCTGGCAGGGAGCTGGGATGGAGCAAAAACATGGACCATCTGCAGGTCCCCGAGAACCAGATTGGGAAACACTGATCTAAAACCATTTAGCGATTTGTCCGCTATTTGCGGAAACATGTCCTACCCCTTACTCGGCAAATTTATAATTTAATGGCGGGGGACCCGGGGCTGGCGTTCCATATTCCTTCAGGGTGCTGAGTCCCCATTATGGTCAAATCCTAGAATCGCCCCTGTACAAAAGAATGCCAGTTTAGTTTATACCATTTGTGGTGCCTCGATGCCGCTGGTTTGTGGTTTGGATTTGTGTCAGAATGCTTTTGAGAGCATTCTCAGATGTGTTCATGCATTTCAAATTTTGGGTATTTTAAACATTTTCTTGCTCATAAATAAAGATATAAATTTTGCATTTCACATTATGTTGACTTGTCATGTATTTAAAAGTAAAATATACTTGAGGAAATATGCTGCTGTTTGAATATCGCAACCAATTCCTACAGATAGAGAATAAACCGTAACGGTTTGTGAGCCTGGTGGGCAAGTAGCTTTGATCATGTGACGGTTCTTCTCCTGTGATCCAGCACCCCTGCCACCCTGGAGCAAAGCTACCTGGTGTGTGAACTTCGCCACAAAGTCAACCTGCTCTTCTCCTTCCTGAAGAGCCACCTAAAGAAGAAGATCATCGTCTTCTTCGCCTGCTGCAAGGAGGTGGGTATGCTCTCGTGTGCAAATGTGTCTCTGCCACATAGCTTCCGAATGACCCCTTTGGTTTTAGCCAATCGCAGTCCCACCTGCCGTGGCTGTGGGTGCCGTTCTGCTTGAGTACCACGCGCACCTGTTCCCTACATGGTGAAGTTTTAAGTATTGAAACTACAAACACATATTTAATACACGCTACCAATAGCATGTTGTTCAGCTACATGTCTGTAAATAGTCTGTTAAAGGAATTACTAAATTATCTAAATCAGTTTATTACACATTCTGCTTTGTCAAAATTCTGTTTCAAATCGACAATCTATCCCCACCAATCAGGTGGTTACCAGTATCTCTTAATTTGTTTGTACCTTAATTACCATGTCATGTCTATATAATGTTTATATGTCTCATCATTCATATTCTATTGATTACTTTTCATTTGCACTATTTGCGTTTTGCATATTTTCAGCTCTGTATGACTCCATGCATCATATATTTGAAACTCACAATAAAAAATAGTTTGACTTTTGCCTAAATCCTTCCAAAATTTGTCTTTTTTTTGGGGGGGGGCGGTGGTTATCAGTTGATGAATTGATTAGATTGTACCCAAAAATCTGAGGTTGTTCAGTGATTGTAATACACGTTTGGTATGCGGATGTGATGCGTCCATAGTCTCTCTTTCAGTTCCATCGTGGGTGTTTATGTAACTGCCAGAATGGCGTCCCCTTGGATTTTTGTTTCACTAATGAGAATTGCGGTGTTTGTGCTGCATGCTCTGATGATCGCCGCCCTGGTGGTGGACTGACCCCCCTCCCTGCCGCCCCTAGGTGCAGTACCTGTTCCGCGTGTTCTGCCGACTCCGCCCTGGCATCCCTGTCCTGGCCCTTCATGGCAAGCAGCAGCAGATGAAGAGGATGGAGGTCTACAAAGATTTCATCGGCAAGAAGGCGGCTGTGCTGTTCGCCACCGACATCGCGGCCAGAGGCCTCGGTAATGCCGACTCGCGGCGACAGTCAGTGCCCCTCGCCCCTGTCGTAGAGGGATCGCAGGATCACCCATCCATAGATGTTTGGAGTGTGTTAGTGCTGTACTAACATTTCTAAATGCGTCTTTCCATGTAATCTAGGGGTGCCTAACTCCTGTCCTGGGGGTCCGGAGCCCTGCACATTTTTGGGTTTCCCCTCATTTAACACACCTGATTCAACTCCTTGTGCTAATTACCACACAGCTCTTGAGCTGAATCATTTATGGTGGAACAGGGAAAGAACTAAGCTACACAGGGCTCCGGCCCCCTAAGACTGGAGTTTGGCACCCCTGATGTAATCCGTTAATCGTAGCTTTCATGAGTGCGAACGTACCCTGTATCCTCTGGAGTTCACAAAACAAGCGAGTGTAATTTGTCCTCCGCACAGACTTCCCTGCTGTTAACTGGGTGCTGCAGTTTGACTGCCCAGAAGATGCCAACACTTACATCCACAGGGTCGGAAGAACTGCCAGGTATGTTTGATTCTCCTGTGCTCTGGGATGGGGGGCCTGAGTTAATGAGGTCGATTAAGGCGATGGTGGTTCGAAGCCAATTACCTCAGAATACCCCCCAAAGAGCTTTTGGGGACGTTATGACGCCTTTCTGGGGGATTTGGGGGGGGGGGGCGCTATGGGGTGGTTTTTACGCATTGTTTAACAAGTCGAAAAGCCTCCCGTCAGCATTGTGTGATAAATCACAGGGTGTCTGTTGCTGACAGCGTGTTTTGGGTGAGGGAGGGAGGGGTGCAGACTGTGAGCGGGACGTGGAGGGGTGACAGGCTTTCTAAGGTGTGGATGCTTTAATGATAGAGGTGTAAATCGCTCCAAATTCTGTTGATTACAGGGGATTTATTGATTCGTTGGCATGCTTCCATAAGACCGCTAGAATGGCTTCATTTTAAATCCTCGTTGAGATTTTTCAGTGCTGCCAGGCCAGAGCCATTGGTGTGTCACGAAATACAATTTTACAGCACGGCTTATGGAAAACGAATGGTATGAAATTTGGTCATCTTGGAAATAACAGAACATTGCATTTAACGTTAATCAAGTCTGTAGCCATGGAAACGTGATTTTGATTTATATGTTCTCCTTATATTGCTGTTTTCTTGGAAAATGTGTGTCCAGTGGTGTGTTTCTGCCCAGTATTTTTGCTTGATCAGCCCTTGTTAATTCAGTGAATGGCACTGAGGAAAATACAGTATAGTCCCTGCTAAATTTAAGCCTCCATTACTCTTTCTTGGCACCACTAGATGGCAGCATTGTGTAGCCCTAGTCCTTTCCTCTTGAATTCAAGAATAACTGAAGGTTGAATGAGCATGAGGGGCAGTGTGGGGGCGCATTGTGGGGGTGCAGTGGATAGCACTGTCGTCTCACATCTCTGGGACCAGGGTTTAAGTCTCAACCGTAGCTCCATGTGGTTAGAGTTTGCATGGTTTCTTTGTCCTCCGGGTACTGCGGTTTCAAAAACATGCTAAAGGGAAATTGGAGTTACCAAATTGTGTGTGTGTGTGTGTGTGTGTGCTTGCACACATGCGCGTGTGCCCTGCTATGGGTTGGCACCCCATCCTTGCCCGTATCCTCCGGGATAGGCTCTAGACCCCTGTGACCCTGAATAGAACAAACGGCTGCAGAAGATGGAAGGATAGATGGATGGATGAATGGGTACAGAAAATGGATGGATGAGTGTGCAGAATGGCAGAGGGGTAATATAATATTGTATGTGTGGAAATGATGACATCCATCCCCAGATTTTGTACCGCTCTGCACCTTTGTCCTGTTGTGAGACAGGAACCGGACACCAGTTCTGAACCAAATTAGTTTTCCTAAGAGTCTAGTTGACTTTCTTTTTTTTTAAGTCCTCAAATGATGCATTGATTACAGTTGTCTGTCATCCTGCGAAATTCCTCTCCTGTTGTCCTAAAGTCTGAAGAAAATGTTTAATTAAAGTGATCTTTCATCTGTAAGGTTTTCAGAGCTGTCTGTGACCTCCGAAGTGCTCCTTACCTATTCAGCCTTGTCAGACCTACTGCAGAATTTAACCATTGCTGCATGTGCATATTATCTGTCCCTGTGGATAGTATAATGCGTTAACTGTATTTCTGGCTGCACTTTTGTTGAGGCGCCATCTTTGTTTCCTGGTGTTACAAAATGAGATTTAGGAGGAATGAGGCGAGAACATGAATGTTTGTCATTAAAGGCGTGCAGTAATGTGAACTACTTAGGGTGATTTTCCATCACACCAGTTACCGACTTTTGGTATTTTCAGAAGGTGCCAAAAGTATGGTACTTGAAGGTGTTGGTTTTCCACTGCCGTAAAAACTAGTACCGGCGCCGAATGACGTCACAACGCAAGGCGGGGTATTTTGTACTGAATTTGATAAGTGGCTGTAGTATATTATAGGGCTGGGTGATGTGCAATATTGATACAACATCACATGTTATGCACATCCAATTTTCACATCGATTGTAAGATCAGGCTTTTTCTTACCTTCAGTTTGGTACGCATATTATGACACTGGGAGTTTAAGTCTCGCTAAAACATTTTTACTCTGTCATAAAGCATTAGCTACCGTTGCAATTTTAATTAATGTTCCTTTTATAGATTATCTAATATATGTTTTAAAATCAGTTTAAATCTACTCCACTGCTTTTGCATGAGCGCTACATGCGTTCTCCGCGATGATCGTAATCGTTTTCATCCTTGCTACTTTAAATGCGCTCCTTGATGGGATTGTGTGAAATTTATGAACTCCGTTTTACTTTATAAATCTGGCAATATTTATTATAACAAAATTACATCGCTACATTTACAACAAAATCATGCTATACGAATGCTGTCCTAGTATCTTAAACAAAATACTTTTTAAATTTCTTGTCGTGCAATTCTGATCTTTTTGTCGTATCTGTCCTTCTAACCAAATCGCAGTACATTTTTTTACTTCTTCATTGTTTTCTCTGTTCATAACAGTTTTCAAGGCGCCGTGTATATTGTGTTTCAGAGGCAGGCTATTTGCATAACCAGTCGTCAACAAAAGTGTTTTAAGTCCCACCCAAAGTACCAAAGAAGTACTGGTTTGGCACTTTGGGTACTGCATGTTTTGGTACTGGCACTCGATCGGACATCAATGGAAAAGCAAAAATATCAAGAGTACGGTACTTGGTGCAGTGTAAAAGCATCCTGTATGTAATAAAGATGGGCTATAGGCATGTTTAATGTATTAAAAGCATCTGGTGTTTCTGGCAAAGGACCAGTGACTGTGTCTCTGGTAGGGGCCCCATGTAGACCTTACGCGGTCTGAGGCTCTGAGAATCTTCAGCCTCCAGGGAGACCAATCAGGGCAGCTTGATCACCTCCTTATTTCTTCAGTACCTATGCAGTCTTTAAATTGGTGAAAGAGGAGAGTGTCCTGCCATTGCGTTTGTACTTTTGTACCTTCCCCCCCGGAGCCCCCTGCCAGCACACCCTGTCGGTAAGCTTAAGTGACGGTGGCGTGTCGCTGTCAGATGAAGAGGGGCAGCGTTACTCTGCTACAGGCATCTTAACATCCTACAGCGGGGGCCTCGCGCCTCATCTTGCCTCGCGGGCTTGTGTGTCTGGGTTTGTCTCCCACCACCAAGCCACCGTCGCTGAGGCTGCTGGGAGGTGATTCTCTGTGGGCTCCTTCTGAATTAATCCACTCAAACGAGGGCTCTGATGACATCGTGCACGTAGTCCTGCCCACCAGCAGTGGGATTGGGGATGACTGCTCTGTCTGTGTGTGTTAAGTATTGACATTCCTTGATTTTGATATTCATTCATTCATTCATTCGATTTGATTCATTCAATTATTCAATTGATTAATTCATTCATTCATAGATTAGTTCATTCATTAGTTCCAGGATAAGCTCCAGACCTCTGTGACCCTGCTTAGGACAAGCAGGTCTGGAAAATGGATGGATAGATATTTATATTTAGTAATTATCAATATTTATATATAACCGTGCATTCGGCAAGAACATATAGCCCTACCTGTTTGCATTGGGTGCAAACTCAATTAACTAATTAGCCTGCTCCGACAGAGTGCTCAGAAAATTAGATTGCAGTTTTTTTTTTTCTTAATTTGCGTATAAAATCCTTTAAGTATTTTTTTTCAGATTCCAATTATTCCTGTAAATGTCTTCTCCCTATTCTCTCTTCTTTAAAGCTAAGTTAACATACTTTTCCCCCTGTTTAAATGACACAAGTCAGTCCTCTGGATTTTTGAAATCTCTTTGTAGAGTAACATTTTAACCTGGTCCTCACTTCCTGTATGTTGGGGGGGGGGACTGTAGAAATTCATCTGTCTTCCAGCTGCTGGACTAGATATAAAAATAAAGGCTTAAAATGATGGCAGCATTAGATTGTCTGGGGGCCGGACTGCTGGGTGTGGGTAGGGTGAGTGTCAGAGCTCTCTTATTAAATGGTGTGAAGAGTGAGGGGTGTGTAGATTTACTGTGTGTTTGGTGGGGGGGCTGTCAGGTTTCAGGCAGCGTTTTGTTCCATCTGGCTGAGATTAAGGTGTTTGAACGAAGCGCATTCCCGCACATTCAGCTTGAGCTGATTATACTTGGTCGCAGAAGGAGGATTCCACACGGTTGGGATTCTGCGTACGTGGGCTGGACCCGGCCAGACCGGGGGGGCGTGATAGAGCTGTGGATTCCATGTGGGGGCATGATGCTGCTTCAGTGCCATTTCTCAAAATGGGCTCTGTGATTTAATTAAGAATAACTGGATTAATAAATACTGATGAGTTAACTGAAAGCTGTTTTTGTCACTGATCTGAAGAATCTTCCTTGGGGGGGAGCTCTTCTTTCCCTACTATGGGAATGCAGGTCCTTGTGACACTGTTGTGATTTGTGGGACAAAATCGCAACAGATGAGATGTGTGTAGTGCACATGGGAGACACTTAGCATTGAGTCAACAGAGAGTCTCTTGTACGTTAAACCACACATTTGCCGGCAAATATAGGAGTTTGTTTTGGGCTGTTTCATACCGCAGAAATGCGAAATAGATATTGACTTTTTTGTCTCTTATTCTTCTTTTTTGAAGGCGAATATGAGATTGGAGCCTGAGAATCCCTGAGTTGAGCGATACGGCCATCTGTCTGAGAAAGGTCTCATCAAACATGGTGTTTAGCAGACCTTGAGTGAACCTCAAGCGGGCTGTGCTGATGGCTGAGCCTTCATATTTCAGCTTTACATAACGTCGTCTCTCTTCATGGTGGTCCAAGTTATAACAAGATAAGCCATGGGGTCCCGTGAGACCTTACCAGGAAGCCGAGTATCTTGTGGGGTGGGAGAGGACTTTCTGAGTGGCACCATTCCACACATGAGGGCAGGATTTGTGTGAGTATACAGTCCCATGCTGCATGTTGGCAGTGTCCGAGGCATTGAACATGTAGGGACACCGGTACTGCAGGGCATGCTGGGTTATTTTGATTAGAATGTGGTGTCCTAGGGCCGTGTGCAAAAAGCCACCAATGACTGGAGGTGGAATTGAGGAGTAGAGAAATTGCACTCCTAACTGAAAGTGCAACACTGGAGATGAGCTGCGTGGCACGGGCTTCCGTGAGCTGGTGGTTAAAGGAGGGAACGTCACAACGCACTCAAAATTTGGAATTGATGACTAGCTCTGAAACAAGGATTCAATTAAGCATCTAAATATAAAGAATGGAGCACTCTTGTGTGCTTCAGGTTTGTTCAGTATGTGTGGCTACTGGGCAGTAACAGAAGTCATTGGTACTCGACCTGGCTGCCTGTAATAAGTGTGGTCATGGGGGCAGCCGGCTGAGCGGGGGCTGTTTCCGGTAGAGGTGGGGAAGGTGTCCCGTCTAAGGTTGCAGCCAACAGAACTTCCAAACGTCAACAGTGACCTTTGACCTTGAGTAACGTATAGACCAGGGGTGGCCAATCTTATCCGCCAAGGGCCGCTGTGTGTGCGGATTTTCGCTGCAACTCACTAATTAGATTACTAATTAGAGGACTGATTGGCTGAAGAGTCCTCACACCTGGGTATGAACAGCTGACCTACAGGTTTTCCCAAAAACCTGCACACTCACTGGCCCTTTGTGGGTAAGAGTGGCCACCCCTGGGGTAGCGGGTCACCTACTGTCCGTTTGGCCCCAGACCCGTGATGCCCTTTCAGACTGACCATGTCACGTCACCCCACTCCCCGGGTCTGACTCCATGTTCGAGTCGGGTCTCCCGTAGTACCGGCACCGAGTGGAGCTGCGGCAGCAAGCCGCTGCGATGTGGCACCTCCGCGTTCCCCGGTTGAACCCTCATCAGGCCTCGGGGCGGAAGGAGGGGCAAGACTCTCTCACACCTGCCTACGCTGTCCGCGTCAGGGCCTGGGGCTGCAGTGCTGTCCCGCGGGCTGGGGCATGCCTAGTACACCGCTATGGGAATTGCTTCTTCCCCCACCTTGGTATGGTACAGGCTGCCATGGTGCAAAGTCAAGTAGTGGCAGAGACCACCAGTAAATAGGGGTTTCCCGCAGGGGCGACTCCACATACACAGACACGTGCTGAAGCGAGCGAATGCTAAAGTGCACTTTGGTATTTTGACCTCTGTGGCCTACCTGCCAAAAAGGCAACTCTTATCACCTGTCTTTTTTGACAGCTTCTCATAAACGCTAGAAGCCTCTAAATGTGTTGGGGGCTGACTAGGGCAGAGTACGGGAAGCTGGATTCCCTCTGCCCCCAGGAAACATCTCTGCAGAAATATTCAAGGGAGCAAATGGCGCAAAATGAAAAGGTCACAGTTACACTTAATTGTGAAAAGCAAACTGTTTTTAAACTTCTGTTCTGTACAGGTAAATGTGTAGTAAAGAGCATTTACATCTATAAGAAAAACGAATCAGTTTCTCAAATTAGACTGGAAATGGAGTTGGGGGGCATTGAGCTGAGACAGGCAGTCCCTGCGTTAAGAACGTCCAACTTGCAGACAACTTGTACTTACAGCCTGCCATAAAGCTTATTATATTTAAAATTTTACTTAAATGCAATGGTTCATAATAAGGAACAGACACACACTTTGTGACTCATGAAAAAATTATGCGGATTAGCGGTGCATTAGCTTGAGGTACAGTGCAGTAAATGAATACTATATATGAGGTATAGTAAATAGATACTACATACTAAGACAAACATTTGACTAGCCGAAACTAAATAAGAACTGTAAGTACCTGTTTTGATTTACAAATTCATCTTAAACACTGACATAGGGAACGTTGTGGATTGCCTGTATGTCCGTAGTTTGGCCCTATCTGACCATCTGGTTTGTTGGTCTTTGCTGACCAGGTATAAAGAAGGTGGCGAGGCCTTGCTGGTCCTGCTGCCCACCGAGGAGAAGGGGATGGTCAAGCAGCTCCAGGAAAGGAAGGTGCCCATCAACAAGATCCAGTGAGTACCAGCGTTGACCTTCTTTGGTGCGCAGTGAGATCAGGTGTGGTGCTGGCTGCACTGCGATAACAGTGAGCTCTGTACTCTGGCATAATTGTGTGAGAGTTCTGGTTTTCAGCATTTCTTTGGTCTCGGCTTAGAGATCGATAGAGGATCATAAGGCACCACCTCCGTGAAGCTCGGCGCTGTGTTCAAGATTAAGGCATTGACGACAAAATAATTTGCGTATGATAATGTTTTTTGTGCAAATGTGGACAGCCTCCGTGACCTTATGACCTTTGTACGAATAGCGCAAAGCCGTCGGGTCGTCGTTTGTGCGCAGTGTGGCAGCTTTGCCTTTTTTTTTTTTTTCTCTCTCACGAGATGCTTGAACTTTAATGTTCAGGGACAGATGAAACACAAGGGTAAAGTCAGCATTTTTACACTAAAACAATAGCTGGAAAGTTATTGCTGGTGCTGAGAGCCTTGGGAGAGTTTAAAATAACTTTCTAAATATAATACAATTAGTCTGAATGGTAAAAATTGCCTATACTTGGTACTATAGGCACGAGGTAATTAATTTTAAAATACCTCAAATGGTCTCAGAGGATTTTGAAATATTAACATTGTTTTAACAGGTGATTCATTATGAAATATACATGTAATGATGAAATATGCATGTAGTGTGCTTGCCAGGAAGTATAGATTGTGTGTATCTCACCCTGGAGTTCTCAGAGCGCTGAACAGTTAACCATGGACATTCAAGGACGTGAAAGGTACATGACTGTTTGGCCTGGTCTTTACTGCAGTAACCCTGAGTGTTACTTATTCAGAAAGGGCAAATATTAAAGTTTCATAAGGAAATTATAAATTCCTGCACTGGGAAGTGCAAATAAGATGGAGGTATTATTGTAAGCATATGGCAAGGTGAAGTATCTCATGTGCTAGGAAGACCATAAATCTCCAGGCCTGCCTGCTGCTTGGCTCCTGAAATGGAATGGGGGGGTGGAATGGGGGGGCGTTCTCTTCTCTTTGGGCCCCTTTGGAGTTTCGTTCTAGTGCCAGTTCATCCTTCCCTGTCTTGCTGTGGCCAGGTGTAATTAACATGGCCCTTATGGGTGATGAATGATGTAAGGTTGCCCCTTCCAGCACAGGAGATGCCTTCCGGAATGAGAATGTCTTAGTGTGGTCTCTGTCCTCGCTTCAGTGGGCTGCCTCTCAGATTCACCGCCCCCCACCCCCGCCCTGTGCCTGAGCTCTGCCACGGAGAGGATGCCTGCTTAAGAGGCCCTTTTCGGTGGAGAAGGTTTTAAACTCCTATCATTAAATGTCAAAAAGGCAAGGGGGGTGGCTGTCTGCCCAAATCTCCAGTCTACTGAACTCCAGCATTTATGTTGCTTTGCGAGTTTGTAAAATACCTCCTAACGCTGCAGTCGGTACCTAGGTGACATCAAAGTGCTGTGACCTGGCAGTGACCCGACGGAGCCTGACATGCCACCGACCAGGACGCCTTCGGGAATTACAGCAGCTCTGCCTCTTTCAGGGGTGTAACATCATTCTAATTACTGCTATTTCTCTGCGTCGGTGGTACAGGGGCAGTGGTGGTCTAACGGTTAGGGAAGCGCGCTTGTAATTGGAACGTCGTGGTTCAAATCCCCAACCAGCAAGTACCCCAGAGGTACCCTGAGCAAGGTACCGCCCCCATGCACCTCCCCCCGGGGGCTAAATAATAGCTATGTCACATATGGGTTAAATGCAGAGGACACATTTCTTCGTCGTGTGCTGTGTGTATCTACAATAACAATCACTTAAAAGGTCATACAGGTCATTTGTTTGTCCTTCATATAATTCTGAAAGGGGGATTGTCATGGTGATTGTGTGGCTTTTACTGGGGGGGGGGGGGGTTGTGCTTTATGCAGGGTTCACTTCCCAGGTTTGATTCCCAGGCTGCATATCACCCGGCTTTGTTGCTTCTCTTGTTTTGCTGTTTAATTAGGGATGTTGGGGTTTGTGGGGTTTTCAGGTAAAGCTTTGTAGGTTGAAATTTTGTAATGAGGATTAATGGATTTCTAAGTGGTGCTGAGAGTTCTTCTTTTAATTTCATAGTTCTAAGAAATGAAAATAGTTTTGGGGGGGTGGGGGATTTTAGTGAAATGGCTGAAAAATAGTTTGATGAATTCATAAACAGCCCCCCCCCCTCCCATCTTATGCTCTTCAGTATTCAGTGGCACTTATTTACCACAGCCGTCCAGCAACAAAAGGTTTTATTTCCCCCCGCCGCGTGGCGCGTGGCGCTGGCATGGAGGGCCGGCCTCGCCCGCGGACCCGCGCAAGCCGGCTTATCAGCTTCCTGCAAGGCCTGCGTGCCGTTCCTGCCTGCCAGACCGGCCATGTGAGGCGAGCCGAGGGGGAAAAACGCAGCGGATGTTCAGGAGGGACACCGAGCTTCATCACACGTTCCCGCTTTCTGGCTCTGCACAAACCACTCCCCACAAAGCCGCCATAAGTTACCGCGACTGTTTTGTTTACTGACAAAACTACCCTGCTGTGGTCCTGAGATTAATATGTCGTTTACCTGAGTGGTTTTTGAAATCAGTATAACTAATTGCAAAATCATGCAAAATTAAAACATTTTTAGTGAGTAGCCATAAAAGTAAGCAGTACTTGAATGGGCATACAGTATAATATAATACAGTATAATATAATTTTCTTGCATTGCACAGTAAATAAAGTCGATTCTGATGATTCTGATTATTAGCCAGGTACACATACATGTTCTAGGAATTTGCCTTGGCAGTACTGATGCATGCATGCGTGCAAAGACGACACCGAACGCAATAAACGAGTTAAAAGGAAGATTAACTATACAAGGAAGAGGATGAGGAGCTATGCTAATCAAATTTTAAGTTGATCCATTAACCTGAGAAGACTAAATGGAATCCAGATGAGAAATACATGAAATCCTACTATCGATCTTTTGTTTTTTTCCAAGCTACAGTGTTTTCTGAATGTTTGCGACGCTCTCGATTGTACGCTTACACCTCAGAGTGCGAGTAAGCCCTGCGTTTACCAGGGCCGTTATCAGGAGACTTACAGAGAGCCTGACATCAAAAGCGCCCCCTGTCAGCCGATGCCCACTGCTAGGAATTCAAACGCCTCTCTGAAATTAATAATATACTGCAATTCTGCACACTAGCTTGTTCAAGAAAGGTTTAAAAATTTACATTGACATTCAACTGTTCGTCTCATGCTTTTGTCCTAAGTGGCTCCTTTGCCGCTAAATTTAATTTCAGTAGCTTTCAGTGTTTTGTACCGCAGTGTGCCGTGTAACCATCATGAGTTTTATAAATCAAGCATGGATTTAATGCTTGCTTTGCATATACGTGTCGAAAATGGTTAAAACGCCATATAGGTGCTGCGCAATAGTTCTGTAGCTTTATTAGTACAGACATATTTCAAAAAAACAAAGATTAACACCGTCACACAAAGTCTTTGGGAGCCTTTCTACGTCCCACTTCACTGACCTGGTAAACCGGAGCATCCCGGTTGCGTGACTGCAATGTGCTTGAAGCCTGCATGTGACTGTAACCATGGGAACCCAGAGTAATACTCGCAGTCCAATCACTGATGGGCTAGCATGCCTATTTTACCGCTGCTGGGCCACGGATAAATGGACACAAAGCAAACGAGACTAAAAAGAAAGGAAATCGTAGCTGTGTGTCATAATGGTGCGTAAGAGGGCATCTCCTCTGCCCTGAAATGCCCACAGCAGAGTTTTATTTGCACGCCGCCTCTGACACCAACCTGTCCAGTTAGGTATTATGGTTATATTACTAATTCCAATACCACACTAACCTGCCTAGCTGAATATAAAAAAATAATTATGAAATGGTACCCGCTTGCATGAGGAAAAACTTTCTAAAATGTTGTATTGTGTCATGATGTACTGCGGTTTCATCGTGAAGCCAATTTTCAGTTGTAATGGCTAATGTGCGAAATCCAATAAGTGAACTGCAAATGTGACTCTGCATTAAATTTACTATTAGTGCTACACATTAGGTGCACATTATGAAATCAATTCACATTGCAATTCTTTGCAATACGCTGCATTGTGGCGGCGATTACCTTGGTTACCCAGTGTGTAGTGTACCCCAGACCTAATGCAGCACAGCTTTTATGCTGCATGAATTCTTGGTAATGAATCTGCCCACTGCACTGGGAAACAGCTGGCAGTTTGCGTGGTGTTTTGATGTTCAAAAATAAGAATGGGAGGGTGGTGGGTGGTGGGGGGTGGTCATATGGCAGGAGATTTATCTGAAAAACAGAATGGATCAAAGGGTGTCAGATTCCCATACCACACACCAGTAAATACTGTAGATTTAATAAAAACTTGGATGTTTTCCATGAATCACTGAATAGGGATTACTAAAGGATTTGTGTTTAATTAATGGATGATATGATATGATTATTATTAAACACTTTGGGCATTTACAGTAGCTCTATGGCTCAGTGACAGATGTACGAAAGCCTGCTGCTGCTTCCCTTTCACAGGGAAAGCCTTAAAAATTAAATTTATTTACGCTGAAATACGTGCAAAGTATCTGCTTTGCTCGTTGAGTTTCTAATTCATGTTAAGGTCGAAGTTACTGTTAAATTAATTAGTTTTTTTTTTTTTTGCATGGCAGTGATTTCTGTTATATGTGGAAATCAGAGAATTTATGTGATATTTGCAGTGCTGGCAGAAATTGTTTTATTGATGCATTATATTTTTCATATGTACAAAATGGACAGTAATCTACAGGCGTACGCTTTGAAAATGAAGATGTAAAAATTTTTTCAGTACTTGGAAAAACACGTGCCTCTGTTTAAGTAAATTTCTTGCTGTTAAAAGTGCCGTGAGGATCGTATAGAGGCGGGCCCCACAGGATTTGGCACCAACGGGCTGCGAGTTTGGGCTCCAATGAGAGATCAATCCACATGTCACATTTACCGCACTGTACTGTGTACCACCGCTAACAGTG